AATTAAGATGAACATGATGCAATTGGACCCAACCAAAACCCCCGTACTCAACAATTCCGGTAGAGGGTCCACCCGAGACTGCCCGGCTTGAAAAACGAAAAAATGCCGAAATGGCAACCTTTGCATTTCAAAGAGCCCTGAACTCAATGAAATGCCCCAACCAACTCTCGAACACAACCGGCACACTCCACAGTGTCCGGCACGCAAAACAAGAAAGGAAGAAAATACCCTCAAAAAATCAGAAAATTCCAAAAATGAAAAATGGTGAAAATTGGAATCACTGCAGCTGACATGTGGCATTTCGTGAGTGGTGGGAAAATTTCCTTCCACAATGTTATTTGATGCATATGTTCATTTTGATAATTTTTTTATTAATGATTATTGTAGAATGAACATAAAGTATGATTAGCACACACACATACCTATTGGATAGGTAGTATGTTAACAGGTTTTGATTGACTCACTCACACGAGTAGTCACCTTTAGCGCTTGAGATAGCGAGCAAAGATGAGACACTTTAGTTATGATGGCGCCTTGGTTTGAGCCAAGATGAGGTCTGATGATTATAGAGACTGACAATGAATATGCCCACCATCTATTATGCCTGTATTGATAGCCAGATGCGAGATCATTTTTTGGCGCGTGTGATGGCCAACAAAATGAAGGACTTGGGTTAGGCACTTGCATAGCAATTAGACTAAGATCTGTATAGTATTAGAGTTTATGATTGGAAGAGTTACTCCACTGTAGCATGTATTTCACACTACATATGCCTAGTGACCATTTATATAGGTGAGTGAATGGATCCCTACTTCCTCACCGTGTGAGTCCAAAGGTTTTAAATGACCAACTATGTACCCTTTGTTACCTTTGACTATGCCATAAGGTAAATAGGTGATGCTCAGCTACTTTGGTATGTTACTGCGATTATGTATGATTCGACCTTACGGGCCAATGTTGAGAAAGCGGTTAATTCTGAGCTAAGTGGCTTGAAGGTGAAGGGAAGATTATCTGAGACACATCACTAATTTATATTGCCGACAACTTATATTGCCTCTAATGAGCTGCAATGTAAGCATAGGTATATTGCTTGAATTTGAATGGTTAAGCATAGCTCCTAGAGGGATTAGAGATGCTTGAACCGATGTGACTAGATGGATTTAGGTATACTTAGACACTATATATTTTTATTTAAGGGTTGATGTCTCAATTCTACTTTTTTATGAGTTACTAGTTTAGAGCTCCCACACTCAGGTGTTCTCGACAGTCGCACAGTACATTAGCTTGTATGAATTGTCTCAACGACTAGATATTTTTGAGAAATAGATATGATAGTGTCGTGCACCCCATGTGGGAGTGGGAGATGTTAAATTTTGGGTTTGGACCCAAATCGGGGCACCCTTGGGTGAGCCCGACTCGATTAGGAAAAGTCTAGATTATATTTAGAGCTTTCCTTATCTGATATTGGCTTGGGGACCAAGGAATGAAATAATATAAATATATTACATTGTGATATTCTTCCATACCACTACATACACAAAAAGTCAAAAGGAAAACCCTAGCACACCAAATATTCTCTTTCTCTGTCAATTATTTCTGGATAGCAATAAAGGCTTTTGTACTGTCGAATTAAGGATTACGCTTGTATTCGTAGTGTATCTGTATTCGTAGTGTAGTTCCATCGCGAGATTGATCGAGGCTATGTTGACACGTGATTCATCCGCTATTTTATTTCTAATTCGGGTAAAGCTACTTTGAGGTAACCCGAATATATTTTTGCATTCGTTTTTATTGTTATACTTGATTTCCTACTGCTACTAAGAAGTCTTGCTCACGAGTCATGAGTCTAATGACACTTTCATGAGTTCTCTTTTAAATTAGCATACTTTGAGCAATGAAAATAATACACAAATATATCATGTTACAAATATTAAAATAATCTTTTATATATATATATATATATATATATATATATATATATATATATATATATATTCAAAATTCTATTAGGAGACTGTCAAAGTTAATATTGTAATTTGGTAAAATAAGAAATAGTGTAAAACCTTAACTGATTTGTGTGATGAACTGTAAATAATTTTTTTGTACAAAATTTTGACTATATAAACTTCGTACAATCCTTTTTCAAATGGCTGAAGACAAAAAGATAGAGCTCGTGAGAAGTATTATAAGGAATACCTCCTATAGCATTACACTAGAGAAAAATGTTATGATCATAAAACAAATTACAAGGAGCAAGGGTTCAAGCCTACCGATACTTCTCTGCCTCTCAAAATAAAGGCTTCGGGGGCAAAGTGGGTGTAAGTATTTTATGTCAAGGTATAATAAAATATATTTATATATATGAAGGAGCCAAAATTAAGTATTGGGTTAATGGATTCTGACGGTCCACATATTTTAGTGTAGTATTATATACAATTCTTCCGGGACAGCCCGATCCAGTTCCTCATGTTAACTAAGTACATTGAACTGTCACTCCATTATCTCAATTTTCCATGCTCATAACTCTGATTGCTCATCATTACATGAAAATAAAAAGACGGAAAGGAATAAAATTAGTGCTAATCATTACATGAAAATTAAAAAAAAATGGAAAGCTATAAAATTAGTATTAATCATTACATGAAATTTTTAAAAAAAAATGGAAAGGCATAAAATTAGTGCTAATCATTACATGAAAATAAAAAGATGAAGTAGAATAAGAAATGGTGGGCCAAATGCATCCTATGGCTGGGATTCTTGGCCCACTATTTGAGTTGGAATGGTGGGCCTAAAAAGTACTTTTTAAAAAAATAAAATAAAATAAAGTAAAAGAGCAAAGTACTTATATTATAATATTTTAAAAAATTATTACATAGCCGGATTAGTTGACACCAGATTTGCCTGTATTGTGTTATCTTTATTTAACTTTTTATTTGTTTGTTAACTAGTGATTAGTCAAATCAATAATTTTGACATCATACAATAATTTTTGAAATAGTCTAACCAAACTTCAAATTTATGTGAAGTGGGATGTTATCAAATTTGAGTATGAACATAAGACTACCACAATCTGTAATCATAGATTGACCATTTTATTTGTTGACCAAATTTGAGTGTACAAGCTAATCAATTAAGTGCTGTAATTTCCATTTCTTTTGGCACAATTATGAATAATTGCATTTGAAGATGCAAATGGGTATAACTTTGTATTACTTTTATAGCAAGTATAGAATATGCTATGTAATGCGTAGAGGCATGTAGTGGATCTCAAAAAGTTTGTTTCTAAAGGTGCCCAGTTTGATAGTCCTAATCAATTGTGACCAATGGAAGAAGACAAATTACATCTCTCTAATTAAAGCTATCATTGAATCCTCTTTTATCCCATGTCGGTATAGTAATTCTTTTTTGTGAAGGGTTGCTCTCTTAATGATTTTGTCTAGCACAACACTTCATTTCTACTCCACTATTTTTTGCCATTGACCAAATTTGTGGCCATTTTTTTATTTAATTTTTTTTTTTTTTTTTTATCTATATGGGTCCTTTGCTGATGATCTTCTTGTTGCTATACTTGATCTATATATTTACCCAAAAAAAAAAAAAAAAAAAAAAAAGTGACCCCTTTTTGTTTTTGAACCATCAATCTCCTATAAAGAGAATATGAGGATGGTTACATGACCACTTCTGCCATGTTTGTAATGTAGGGGTCTGATTGCTGTGACCCATCATGATAAGGACTATGACAATAATACTTCCTCTACTTACTGTGCATATTTTAATTGTGCAACTATGACACGTGGCATTAGCTAATTCTCATAGAGGATCCACCATGTGTCTACAACTCTAAGAATAGATTCATTTGCTTTCTACTCTCTCTCTCTCTCTCTACCCATGAATAGTTGAACATTGTTTTGTTTTGTTTTGCATTCCAAAAGCAGTAGACCAGTCTTTACAAATCAGCAACACCACCATGAGTGAATAATATATATACACACACACACACATACATACATGAAGGCATGAAGCATATACAATTACACTGGTGTACCAACTATTATATTTTGATTAGACGAATGTTTAACACCGGCCTTTTTATACACGTTGTGCAATGACTAATGATCTCGCAATAGAGCCCACTTAGTCAAGATCAATAATAGTGACAGTGAAGACCATTCCTTGTTAGAGTAATGATTTCTTGTTGCGTAATGATACATTCCGGATTTTGAAGAAAGATTTAATCTGAAAGGAGATATGGATGTCGAGGAATGAAATTTGATGTGAATGGAGATATGAACCCCACCGGTGATGTCGTGTAATAAAACCCACACTCTACTCACATAACCTTCTGTTCGGAATCTTCCAAATTTGGAGGATTTATGGCATTTTCCTTCCTTGTTTGCTTTTACCAAGTTCAACTGAAATCTCAATCTTCTACCTTAAATGGCATACATAAACTAGTAGTAACCACGTTCAAGAATTAGTTTTTAATTGCTCAGTAAACAATCAATTTCAAAAACAAAGGCCCCTGCCTAGACTCCCTTAGAGAAGTTTTTTCTTTGAAAGTTCAAGCAAACACGTCTTTTTAAAGGCCTCTGCTTGGACCCCCTGAGAGTTGTGTTTTTCCTAAAGTTCAAGCAAACAAACTACCACTTCGCCCCCCACCCAGACACAAACACTTTATACCATAAAGCCTAGAGCCCATTGGTACCAAATAAACAATTACTTAAAGCAACAGAAAGGCTATTGGCTTCATCATTTTAACGGCTCAACTATCATGTTTCACAAGGATGCAATGATCTAGTTCTCAAAAAAGTTTTGAGAAATACAGAAAACAGTGTCTTTTGAAATAGTGCTGTTCAAACTCTGCTTTTCAAATTAAAATGCTCAAAATACACTCTTTTCTTCGAGAAGAGTTAACTCATGTTCTTAGAAAACAGAACCAAACAAGCCTCTGTCTGGACAAGAACTCACAAAAACAAGGTCATGATTTGTGACTCAACGAATAGGCAACAAAAATAATAATAATAATAAATTTAAAAAAAAAAAATCACATGAACAAATTGCTTTATTCACATAATGGTAACCACGGGGCCGTGGCAACTACTTATATCCTGTGTGAAACTGATTGGTGTCTGGGTGATAGTCTCAAACTCAGGAATTAAATGCTTCACTAATTTATTAAACATACATACTGCAACAAACATGATTCGAAAATGTCACTTGTTTTTGTCCATCAAACTCCTCACTCGTTGCAATACACGAACAAACTCATAAAACAAGGAGAAGTCTAAACCCGTTCCTGTGAGGCCGTCACCATCCATAACCATTTTAGAAGATTTCGAAGAGTAAGTGTATGGGTTCTGACAAATGATAAAGTCGAAACCACCAAACTTGCTAATCAGACTGTCAAGCTTGTTACTTACTAGCTTCTGAATGTTTTCTATCTGCACCAACTCCCCAGCTTGATCAGACTTATGCCACCACCGCTTGAGAATCTTCTTCTTTCTTTCACAAGGCTCCACTGAAACAACAGCTTTCAAACGAATGCCAAGCCGGTGCAAAGTAACTTCTGCCCCACCAATTCCACTGTAGATGGATAACACTGTCAATCCTGTGGGAAATAAAGACTTCAAAACAGATAGATGATAACCCAAGGTGTCTGTCTGGAAGCAGTGTTTCAGTGACTGAAGTCTTTCTGTTAGGCTAAGCTCAGCAGCTCCAGTGTGATACAATGGGTAGCCCAGAATGCGCTCCAGATCTTCTGGCTCAATGGGTTCCAGTTTCGTATTGCCAACCCACAGAAGATTCAATGTGCGGCACTGGTGGAGGAGATCTTTTTGCTGTTCTACTGAGGGCAGCCCTTTAGAATCAACTAATATTTTTCCAAGTCGATCGCATTGTTGCGAAATCCCATTAGTCTCAGAACTGATGCAGCTCAACTGCTTCCTCGTATCCCATGAAGGCCACCATTGCTTTGTACATGGTATTGCTTCTTCAATAGTCATCGGTGGCTTTGGAAGAATGTGAAATCTATTTTCGGTAGGAAGATTGTGTATGTAGCCTTCCTTTCTGCTCAAGGCTGAGAAGAACCGAGTGTTCACAAATTCTGGTTCAATGGCATACAAGAACTGTGATATTTTCAACCAACACTCCTGAGTTAAATTCATAACATTTCCATAAAAGAAATACGGAAGTTTAGCTACCATTTGATCAATACTCCTGCATGACTTGGGCTTGGACAGTTTGGACAATCCGAATGCATCCGGCCTTCCTGCTTTACGGTTGACCTCCCTTTGAGGTGCAGGCCTCCTAAAGCTACTGAATTGAGCATCCCCTTTTCTAGCATCTGGCCACCTCGGGCCATGGAAACTGCTTGTCTCATCCGCATACTCTTCTTTTGGCCTTTTCAAACTGCTCGACTCATAGAAATACTCTTCTTTTGGCCTTTTCAGAATCGTTGACTCATCAACATACTCTTCTTTTGGCCTTTTCCCTTTATACTTCTCAGCCAAGTGTGTGTCCCTAAACTGAGAAACATCATCCAGACTATATTCCTCGGTTTTTACAGCCAATTCATCAAAGAAATGGTTATTTAGACCATCGCCGAACCCTCCACCAAAAGATCTACAATCTTTTCCAGTGTGTGACCGACAATTACTGAAAGAGGTAGAGGAATACTGCACAAACAAAAATAAAAAAAGTACCACTCTCAAGTAAATCTACTACCAGAAAGAGATTGACCAATACTGCACAAAAACAAAAAGTTTAGGCAAAATAATAACAAGCATTATATATAACCACACTTCAAACAAAACTAGCCTCCATGGTTGCATTGCACACAAATTAAGTCAAATAAATAGCCAGATTGGGCACTTGGGCAGATAATACTTTGAAAGTGCAGGATAAAAAGCCAGGCCTCTTGCACGCACAAAATATTTGGAAGGTTCCCTGTGGCCACCGGCCATTGAGCTTAAACAGAAATTCAACTAGAGTGTCACAGAACCTAAGGCATAAGCATCTAGGTCACTGGCTCAAATTGCAACTCTGATTCTGGAAACTTAGCACAACACATATTTATTAAGAATTCTGACCAACATAAATATGACTAATTTTCCACCCATTCTGAAGAAATTACTGGACGTATGTTAAGGTTTATAAGAAGCTTTAAGTGATAATACTAGTAAAATGAAAAACATAGCAATTGATCTTTAAAGAAGAGAAATACCTTGTCTTTGTCAACAATTGAATCAGCAAGCATAGAGATAGGAACTTCTGAACCTGAAAGACAGCATACAAGTAATAACTCAAAAGTTGCAGCAAGCTAAAACAAAAAGTAGTTCCCGCCTAAGAATAAAGATGAAATGTCTGGTAAACATTTGCAAATTTCTTAAGAGAACCATATTATCACCACTTAAAATATTCCAAAAGATAGTTTGCAATTTAGTAGAAAAATAGTATTTTCAAAAATGAGAATTATAAAAAATATTTCTGCCAAACAAGAAAAAATGAAATGAAATTTAAGAGGCAACAAATTTTCAAAAAGTTAGAAAAATAAAAATAAAAATAAAAGAAGAAGAAGAAGTTACATCTTTATTAAATTTGAAAATTAATTAAATCATATGCAATCAAAAATAAAAATCATGTCTTTAAATTTCAACTAAGCCACCAGGCATTGAGAGACTGTGCCGGCTTAATCTTAAAACCTGTGGGATGTTGTGCATAACTTGAAAATTCTCTATCCAAGCTTGAACACCAATCAACCTCCTCCACACCAAAAAGAGGGGGGGGGGGGGGGGGGGGGGGGGGGGGGGAAGCTAGCCCTAAATCATTTGAATCTTAATTAACATTTAAATTCTAAAAGAGTGACAAGGATTTTTTAGGAAGTCAGTCCAGCATCCCTTTACGAAGCAACCACCATAACCCTCCTTTGTTAAAGTAATTCATCAATAAAAAACTCGTTCAAATTTTAACACAACACATGCAGCTGAGGTACTCAAAGGGATCCAATTGTAAATGTATAGCTCAGATATAGAAGTGCCTGAAGTCACCATAGATTTTAGGTTTAGTTAATTAGGGTTAAGTCAAAGATTGAGAAGGAGAGAGAATGAAGAAGCGGGAATTGGTGTGAGAGTTAAAATCTGATTCTCTCACCCCTAATATCTTATGTACATTTGCGTGCGCAGTTAAAATCTGATTCTCTCACCCCTAATATCTCATATATATTTGTGTGCGCGCGCGCAAATGTACATAAGAATAAGCAAACAAGGAAAAAGGCTAAACTACCCCTATAGGGAATCCTATTACATATGTGCCCCCCACTGTAACTATTCTAACACTCCCCCCTCAAGCTAGAGAGTATATATCATATAGTCCCAGCTTGGAACAAATACACTTCAAACGATTATGACCTAGGGCCTTAGTGAACATATCAGCCTTGGAGAGGGATAACTACTTTCAAAACATAAATAAAAACTAAAACTTCAATACTATAGACTCCGTTTTGCATGAAATTTCCAGCAAAAGCCAATTACTAAGCACAACCATTGAGGGTAGCTAAATGGCAAGGCTCTTTGAACTGTTATGCTCACTGCTTGGGTTTCAGTCTTGCTCATCACTACAACATTAAAGAACTTGTGCTCTACCATATCAGTTGATTCTAAAAGTAAACTTCATAGTTGGGAAAAGACTATATTTTTTATTTTTTTGATAAGTAAGAAAAAGACTATTGAAATGAGAATATATAGGAATCATATTATAGAAGACAAACATGGCTCCATGACAATTAAATTAAATATTGTATAAGTTCTATAATTATAATCACTCTTGTCATACTGAAAAATAATAACAAAAACACCCCATATGTATGTATAAATATATATGTGCATTTTTTTTTGTGTAGGTGTATATATGTGTATTTGTTAATGAACATAATTTGATAACTTCTCTCCAACTCCCATTCCCACTCCATAAATAGTTCTTTTCTATGTCTTCTGTTTTCTTTTAAATATGACTACAAACTTCTATAATTTTTTTTTTCCTAGTTAACTTCTATAAATTTAATACAAACTGTTCTGCTAATCTTCCTTGCAATTTATATTTTTCCATGCAAAAAGAAAACAATATATAATATCCAAAGTTCATTGGTCTCATGTTGGTGAGTGTCAAGAAACGTTGGCCATTTGTCAGAATTGAAACTTTATTTTAAAATTATAGACACACAGAATTTGTAGTAGGAGAAGTGTCAGTATCAAACATATTCAACGAGGACACAGCCCCTTCAAAGTGTCCATGCTTCTTGGAAATGGTAAAAGACCTTCACCCTGACATAGAATTACATTGCTGTTAAAAGTTCAACAAGTTCCCTACATGATTTAGATTTGTCTCATCTTCAATGAATTCCATGTCTGGCATGGATCAGTTTTTAGTCTTCACTACAAATGGGCCTGAATAGATTAAACAAACTTTGAGGAGGTTATGGTTCTTTAAGAATAGTAATAAGCAACTACCTACAGTAAAATTCATTATAGGAAAAAGAAAGAATAGAAACGAGTATCAGTAAGCCAGTAATCAGAAAAGTCCTTTAATGGTCATGTAAGACAATTTGCAGAAAGCCCAATAGATTCAAGACATTCATTTAGCAATTTTAGCTAGTTGCCAATCCCCCTACGCCAACCCACAGGGAGTGCGCAGCAGGAGAAAACAAAAATAAATGGACATAAAATGCTCCATTTCCTTTGAACCCAAGAAAAATGAACATAAATCATTTGCCAAGAGTTTTAAGGGTGATGCACCATTAACAAACATTCAAATCAATGTAATATTTACTCACCATATTTCTCAATGACCGTTGAAATTTCATTCTCCGAGAAACCCATTTCAAGCAAACGAAGTGTCTTGTCCATAGTCCCAAACAAGGCCTCAGTGTTACTATCCTGAAAATGCTAAGTTATTTGACCATAAGCCGTATGATACCATGCATAGGATTAGATAACAAATCTATGAAAGCTTTGAAAGCAATTCTTGCATATGCAAGTTGAAAACCGGTTTTGCCAAAAAATTGACACTTGATATCAAGGATTAGAAGTACAATAATGCACATTACTCCACCATATTGTCAGAAACTGTTCTAATTTAATCATTTTTTTTTTATGTTCTCAAGCAACATAGTCACACCTAGATCAGCTCTTGTTAATATTTTACATTGCTCATCAATCAAAATCGGAAGTAATATTCTGTATCATATTTATGTAATGACATTGCTACTTTTTTTTACTTTCTTGCTTAACCAAACTAATGGCATATACACATATGACATCCTAAAATTGCAATCAGCTCAATTGTAAACAAAATAATCATCAAAGACCTCTTTCCTTTCTTCATCACCATGATTTGGATCATCTGTATCTTTTTCACAGCTTCCAGCTATCTGAGCAGCAAAGATGAAGTCCACTAATTCACTTATTGGAGCATCTTCGCCTGAAATGCAAAAAATGCAACTTGAGAATAGAAACTTCAAAATAATCACTGTTAGAGATTGTATCAAATTCCTATTTCAATTAGGTTTCTATTTTAGAGTTGTATTTTACTAAGTAATTTATTGTTGGGCAACTCTTGGGCTCCAAGGAATTGTAATCTTTGTCCAACAAGAAATTGGGTTGAGACCTATGAGATTGGGGAAATGTATTCTCATGAGGGAGTTCACTGGTAAAGGTTGTTTATGGGTTAGTAGAGTAGGAAAGACACCCATGGCACTGGTAACGATGGAACAAGCTCGTGGAGTGGTACATGGTGAAAAGCCATGTACATGGTGTTGGTACTGTACTGTTGTACTATCTCTACGAATCATAGTGGAATATCTTCTCATCCGTGGATGTAGGCTGGTTTTGGCTGAACTACGTTATTTCTTTTGTTTGTGTAATTGCGTTGTTGGCTTTCATTGGACCTCGATATTCACGCACTTCCGCTGCCCAACAATCACATTTCAAACATTTATGAATCAGAATGAGATTCTAGAGCAACAATAAAAGCTATAATCAACCATCTTGGTCTTTTTCTAATAACACAAGAAAAATTATAAATAAAAAGATATTGATTAAGAAATTAGAAAGTACTTTCCACATAGAAATACAGAGTTATACTTAAGTATGCATATGACAGGACTTGTTGGATGCAGCAATCTCCTAAATTTAACACTTGTTGACATGGCTATAGAAGCCTTTTGACTGATCAATCACAATGTCAATTTTGTATACTTCTGAAAGTGTCTGTGGTAATAAGAAATTGCATGATCGCAGATTCTACAAGATAAAAACAAATCTATGAGTATTAATATATATTATTCTTCCTCCTCTATTTGGAAAAGTATTATGTCAACAAGAGATGTTGTCTTGCAAGGGTGCACTTACAGGATTGGAGATGGTTCTACAATCAAATTCTTCCTTGACCCTTGGTGTGAAGGATTCTTAGCTCAGAAATTTAATCACAGAATGTTGAGGAGGCTGTGTTCGGTGAGACAGTTACTCTGGATTTCTTTGTGACTAACAATTCTTGGGATGTTGCCAAGTTTAGTCATGAAACTCAGGAGGTCTATCAATCTGTTAGGAGGTTTTCAATCTAAGGGGGTCAAGATAAGATCTTATGGAAGACTAAACAATTCTCTTTTAAAGCTGCATGAGATGCCTGCAGGTCGCTAGGCCGTTGGTCTCTTGGGCTAAATTGTGTTGGAATGGGGGTAGACCTAGATGGTCGGTTCATGCTGTGTTGGTTCTACAAGATGCTGTCCTTACCAATGATAATTTGCAGAGGAGAGGAATCTGTTTGGCTTCTATTTGTGTTCTCTGTCATAAGCATGTGGAGCACAGAGACCATGATTTCTATCAATGTCCTTATGCTACGCAAGTTTGGGAGGGCTTGAAGGAGCTTCTTAAGTGGCATCCTGGGTGTTTTCACTCTGCTGATACATGTATAACATTACTGGCGCAACAATTGGCTGCGGATTCTTTCAGAAACAAGCTTCTTCGAGTGGTCTTTACAGCTGCTCTTTATTACATTTGGAATGAGAGGAATTGTAGGCTTCATACTGCTAGCTCTAGAGATTCAATTGTTTTGGTTAGGTGTATTATGTGGGACGTGTTGGATGTCCTGGTGGCCTGTCTCCAAGATATTCTTTAGTAGTGTTGTTTTGATTGCTGTCTAGGGGTTATCCCTAGGTTCTTCCTTCCTTTTCTTTTAAAGGTTGGATGTGTGTGAGGTCGTTCCTCCTTTGTAATTGTACTATATTTCCATATTTATAAAACTTTCCCATCATTCAGGAAAAAATATATATATATTATTATATAGAACTGAAATTTCTGCTTACCAAGCTTCTCAATTGCAAACTCAATTTCATCCAAAGAGAAATTCATCATCAACAAGGATGCTTTTTTGTCATCATTAACTCCACGTACACCAGGCTCCTGCCAAACATTGAATAGGATACTAAGCCTCGTGAATTAAAAAATCCAAAAGCCTAATTAGTGTAATTATCGTGACAGCTATGACACAGAGATACAGACACATGACATGGGTACGGCACTGATACAGAATTTACAAATACGGCACCTCTCAAAAAAATATTTATGAAATGAAAACGAAACCTCTTGAAAGAACAGGGCAAGGACATGGCAAAGATAAGATAACAAAATAATAACATAATATATTATTATATTGAAAAAAAAATTATTTCTTGCTCATTTTATCCACTATATCATTAATATAATCACTATTTGGGGCTTAAGACTGGATGAGTGTTGTTTTTGTTTATTTGTTACCGTGGGCTTAAGGCAGGCCTTGGCGCAATGGAAAAGTTGCTCCATTATGACCTGATGGTCATGGACTTGAAATAGGAAACAACCTCTGTGCATGTAGACATATATGTAAGGTTGCATACATCTGATCCTCTCCAAATCCCACAATGGCAAGAGTCTCATGCAATGGGTAGCTCTTTTTTTGGAATATGAGGATTGTCACCCAAGACTACAATAGGTCAGAGTGCACAGTTCAGACCTAAAGAGAGAGTAAAACGGTCTCATGGATATACGAGGGAGAAGTTTACAACCAAGTTATCACCAACCTCTAAAACCACCCAGTCCCTCAGATTTATGCAATATCTCCTCGATCCTTCCAATTGTTGATCCATCAACGGCCCAGCTCCTCATGCAATCTGCTTTTCCATGGATGTTCAATCAACTTTTCTGCTTGGTTGAATTGCTCTTGTTAAAGAGTTTGTAATGTGCTCCTTGCTTTGAATCCTTCAAACACACAAGTTTGTAATTGTAAAATGGTGCCCCAAACTGCCTCACCTATTTCTTCTTTCTTCTTCTTTTTTTCTGTTCTTTTTCTTATAAATAAACAACCGTCTTGCTTATTTTTAAAATTTCAGTCCCCCTCCCACCCCCCCCCCCTCTCCACTACAGTAATCTTCATTCTTTTGAGTTAAAGAACTGTCAAATTCATTCTCTCTCTAAAACTATCACTTCTAATTGTGGTCGAACTAAATAATGTATTATCTTAATGAATACCATTCCTTCAACCAATCAATTACCCTAAATTTGGTCGAACTAAATATTGTATTATCTTAATGAATACCATTCCTTCAACCAATCAATTACCCTAAATTTGGTCGAACTAAATATTGTATTATCTTAATGAATACCATTCCTTCAACCAATCAATTACCAAATAGCCGAATTGTGGTCAAACCAAATAATATATTATTTTAATGAATACCATATTCCTTCAACCAATCAAGTAACCTAATTGTGGTCGAACTAAATAATATATTAGTCTAATGAATACAATTCTTTCAACAGATCAACTAGCCTAATTGTGGTCCAACTAAATAATGTGTAAGCAGTCGGGAGAATCTATGAACCATCTTCTTCTTCACAGCCCAGTGGCAAGGGATATTTGATCTATGTTATTGGTTGCGTTTGGCATGACTTGGGTTTTTTCCGAATCCACGGTGGATATGCTAGAGACTTGGAGAGAGTTTACAGTGGAGAGCCGAGTCATAGATGCTTGGAGGGCCACTCCCCTTTGTTTATGGGGGGTTTGTGTGGCACGAGAGGAATAGAAGATCTTTTGATGGAGAGGAATCTCTCATTTTGTCTATCAAATACAACATACTCTCTTCTTTATTCTTTTGGGTTTTTGGGCGTAATTGTTAATCTATGAGGGATCTTTTGGAGTTTGTGGATAGCTTGAATTTTTAGTGTCGCCTTGGGCATCCTTTGTATTCTTTCAGGTTCGCTCCCCTTCTTGAGCACCTTTAATGATATCTTACTTGTCAAAAAAAAAGTCAAAGAGTTATTCTTGTTTTTGAGTACCAAGTAATTAAGCTTTGGAATTACTTAGTGTTTACCTAAGAAAGTGGTAGGAATGTCATTAATGTTGTGTGGGGATTCTAAAAGTCCTAGGAGAAATCAAGAGTGATTGGTAGTTATATTATATAAAGTACAGCCCTCTCTCTATCGTAACAAGTCTTAATCAATATCATTTTGAGTTATTTTCAGATTAAAAGATTCTCTCAAGGCTTTTCCTAGATTTCCCTTAAGAAATCTAAGATTCCGAAGATAGTAACTCTAGTCTTTCTTACTGCTGTAAGAAGAATTGTATTTTATCTCTGTTTGCTTCAATATCTTTGTTCATGTTAGAAGTTATATATATAATAATGGGTCGTTATGAAATTATGTTTAGTTAATAGGCTGTTTGTGTTATTATGTAAACCTTGTAACATATATAAGCCTACATAGGCTTATTAGGTTTTGCAAGTTGTTTTTTGAATACACAGAATACGCTTTTGCTCTCTCTCTTTCTCTTTTGATTTTGAACATGGTATCAGAGCACAATGATCTTGAGTGTGAGAGTTAGCAGGTGGGTTGGTCGTGAATCACGATCTGAATCACGATTTGAATCACAATCGGAATCGTGATTGTGGTTTTGATGTCTCTGTCGGCAATTTCTTGCTCACCGTAATCAGATCTGAAGTGTGTTCGTTGTTGTTTCTGCCTTCTTCATCGTCACCGGCAGCTCCTCTTTGGTGGTCGTCGTCTCTGCCTTCTTCGTCGTCGCTGGCAGAAGCTTCTTCGTCTCGATTTGCAGAGGTGAGATTGGTTTTCGGCCGGAAGTTGATTCGGCCGCTGCTTGTTGATTCGGCCGTTGCTCGTGGTTGGGTTGCCGTCGCCTCCGCCGTATTGTTTACCGGAGTTTGTGACGGAGTGAAGAAGAAGACCCGTGTTTGGCTACATGATTGTGCTACTCCAACCCTGGTTTGCTAAACCTGGGATAGTTATTCTAATCCCGGTTTACTAAACCAAGGATAGTCCAGATCCGACCCGTACCAAGATCCGACCCGTTCCAGGACCCGACCCGTACTAGAATCCGACCCGTTTCAGGACCCGACCCTTGCCAGGATCCGACCCGGTTTCAAAATCCGACCCGTTTCAGACCCGCTTCCAGGTTCGGCCAGAATACATAATTTTTTTTTCTCTCCTTTTTCTTCTCTGTTTTGCTGGATTCAACATGGCCTCAAGTTCAAGTTCAGATTTGCTTTCACCCACGAACAGTCTTAATTCTCCCATGACTTCAGTTAAGCTCAATGGGAAGAATTACATATTGTGGGCCAAATCTGTAGCCATTTTTCTTAAAGGCAGAGGTCTTGGTTCTCATTTAACTAAAGAGAAACTCAAGGCAAATGATACTTCCTTTGATGCATGGGCAAAGGAAGATGCTCAGATCATCTCTGTGATGATAAACATTATTGAACCCCAAATTAGTTCAACTTTACTTTATTTGGATACAGCCAAGGAGATATGGGATAGATTGCAGCAGTTATATTCTGGGACAGGTAATATCACCCGTGTTTATATAAACAGTACTTCAATCTTGAACAAGGTACTCAAAGTATAGAAGAGTATTATTCCGAAGTTATGGGAGTCTATGGAGCTGAATATGTATCAGCCCATTACTGCTGATGTTCGCAGTATGCAACAACAGCGTGTGGACTTTAATGTTGTCCGTTTTCTTACTGGTTTATCATCAGCATATGAGCCTTTTCGTGCACAGATTATGAGTAGTCCAACACTTCCATCTCTTGCTGAGGTGTTTTCTCGACTTCAGCGTGCTACACTGGCAAGTGATACCTCAAATTTGAATACTAGACAGAGTGGCGAGCGTTCAGCATTGGTAGTTTCAAAGGGTGAACATAATACTTACCGTGGAAGTCGTGGGGGACGCTCCACACGTGGTGGTCGTGATTCACATGGAGGACGTGGCCGTGGCAGGGAATTAAGAAAGTGTACTCATTGGGGTCTTTCTAATCATATTGTGAACTTTTTGTTGGGACCTTCATGGGAAACCATCTGGTTATGCAAATCAAGTTTCCTCTTCTTCGAATGATGTCGCTTCTGGATCGCACAATGTAGCTGAATCAGATACAGTTCATGTTCCACGGGATGAGTATACTCAGTTTTTGTCTTATAAGCAAGCATCTAATTCATCTTCCACGACTACCTTTGCCCAGTCAGGTACTGCACACACATGTCTATTGTCTTCCACTCGCAGTCCTTGGATCATAGACACTGGAGCATCTAATCATATGACCGGATGTTCTTCTCTTTTATCTGATTTTCATTCTGTACCTACTTCTCAAAGTGTTACTCTTGCTAATGGTTCATCCATTCAGGTTTCAGGTTTGGGGACAACTCAACTTAGTGATTCATTGTCTCTCTCGTCTGCTTTACATGTTCCGCAGTTTCCCTTTAACTTAATGTCTATCAGTAAGCTTACTAAATCTCTCCAGTGCTCTGTTACATTTGATCCTACTTCTTGTGTGTTTCAGGATCTCAAGACGAAGAAGAAGATTGGTACGGGGCATGAAGCTGGTGGCTTATATTATTTTGATTTCGAACCTTCTCCTATGGCTCTTCAGTCTTCTCTGTCTCCATTCCAGTGGCACTGTCGCCTTGGTCACCCGTCACTTCAAGTTTTGAAGCGTCAAGTTCCTAGTCTTAGTTATTTGAAATTCTTGTCATGTGAAGTTTGTCAACTTAGTAAGCACCATCGCGTGTCTTTCAAGTCTAGGGTTAATAATCGTGTTTCTAGTCCTTTTCATTTGGTTCATTCAGATGTATGGGGTCCAATAAAACATTCTTCAATCAATAAATTTCATTATTTTGTGACATTTGTGGATGATTATTCTCGCCTGAGTTGGTTGTTTCTAATGAAAGATCGTTCTGAGTTATTTTTAATTTTTCAAAAATTTCGCAAAGAAATCAAAACTCAATTTGGATGTCCAATTCGTATTCTACATTCTGATAATGCTAAGGAATATTCTTCAACTCCCTTTGATACATATCTTAGTGATAAAGGAATTGGGTTTTGGGTTACTATATAAACCAAATGGTCATCTCAGAGTGGAAGGTTTTATAGATGCCGACTGGGCCGGTTCTTTTTCAGATAGGAGATCTACTACCGGCTACTGCACATTTGTAGGAGGAAATCTAGTTACATGGCGAAGTAAAAAACAAACGGTGGTAGCTCGATCTAGTGCTGAAGCTGAGTATAGGGCAATGGCCCATACCACTAGTGAGTTGACATGGATACAACATTTTCTAAAAGAACTTGGGTTAACAGTTGAAACTCCTACTCCATTGTTCTGTGATAATCAAGCAGCAGTTCACATTGCATCAAATCTTATGTTTCATGAGAGGACCAAACATATTGAAGTTGATTGTCACCTTATTCGAGAAAAAATATTACGTAGGAGCATCTCTACTCCATTCGTGAAGTCTGAAGATCAATTAGCTGATATGTTTACCAAAGCATTGGGTCATAATCGATTAAGAACTATCTGTTCCAAGCTGGGATTATTTGATATATATTCTCCAGCTTGAGGGGGAGTGTTAGAAGTTATATATATAATAATGGGTCGTTAGGTAATTATGTTTAGTTAATAGGCTGTTTGTGTTATTATGTAAACCTTGTAACATATATAAGCCTACATAGGCTTATTAGGTTTTGTAAGTTGTTTTTTGAATACACAGAATACGCTTTTGCTCTCTCTCTTTCTCTTTTGATTTTGAACAGTTCAATACTTCAATTAGAGAAGAGGGAAAAATATATTGTATTATTCAATCTTGTTGAGGATACAATACAATACAAGAACAACATATGTCCTAAAAGAAAGCAGACCAAAATCATCCCATTGTTACAGCTTGTTTCCACCATTGTGAAAAGCAAAATACACTGGCCTAACATGTGCACTACTGTTGTTTTCATCTCTGGCATTTTGGCAGCACAAAACAGAAATAGAAACAGTTGTCAATCATGTCCTTAGTATCCAGTAAACAGTTCTGAGGTGTGAAGCTGCAGCCCTTCCCTACAGCACTCTATAAATATCTTATAATAAAACAAGAGGCTTCCGAGGGGACAGTTGAGGTGGATGCAAAAACTAACTGCTCTATCTGTGAAAGTATAAGATTGGTTTACAATCACATAAATGGAGGAACACAATACAGTTCCTCATTAGATACCCCTTCCCCCTTTTCAGACTCAGCATCAATATCCAAGAGAATTTCTACAAGTTCAATACCTAATCTAACCAATGTGGAGTTGCAACCCTACCAAGTAACCCCACAAGTTGTGCATTGCCTGCCTGAAAACTATGTAATTAACTCCTGTGTATGGCTCCTAATCAGAATTAGCATCTTCTCATCCATAGCGCACTAACCAAGTAGAAGGAATATATGCGGATAGGATCTCAGAATACGAATACACACACATAATCAAATAAAAGAAAAAGGACTAATGGAACAATAAGAAGTGGACAGCTAAAAAAAATGTAGAAGAAACTTGGAAATGCTGACTGTAAGGATGAATACCATTTTCTCATATACTAGGATGATAACCAGATTATGATGGCTTAGATAAAGACAAAGGTTGAAGCATTGGTAAATTCACATTTGAGAATTCACTATCATTACTGTAAGCAGGCAGGCTCTATATTCTGTTTCTCAGCCGTGCTAACTCGGATAAATAATATAGGATGTTAGAAAGAAAACCGGTGAAAATGCAGATCTCAAGACAGCGTATCAGGTCTCCTTGATGCAGCAGCTAACATACTTCATTCAAACTAAGCAAATCAACCAGACTAAACAACTGATAGCAACTTAAACATACTGCAATAATCCCCCAACTTGTATAGGCTAGTCAAATAGAAACTTCCACTTTACCCCTGTACAGGATAATTACAGAAAAAGCACAACTATGTCGGAAATACACAGCCATCTGCAGGTTACCTCTTTTTGACATAAATCTGTGGCAAAATTGTGGGAACTGCTTGTATCCTTGTCATCACCAAACATGCTATCCAGAGAATCTGATGATATAGAACAAGGTTTACCAAGAGCCTGTTTCATTTCAACGAGGGTAAACAATTGATTTTATAGAACTGAAATAGATGACACTGAGAAGCAGAAAATAAATAAAATAACTACTCGAGTATAATGGGATCGAGACAATGTTTTAAAATCTCACAACTCATAAGAGATCCTAAAAAAAGAAGTTCATTTTTTATTATTATCCTACAATCAAGGCTGCATTTCAATTTCTGGATCGTTCCTCTAGTGTTCCTCAAACTTAAGTTAGAAATGGAAACTTTCAGGCTTCAGCTGAAGTGCCAATTCTGTGACTGTGGCCATCAAAAACAAGAAATATTCAACAAGGCAAATTTACTATTTTGCTGTAATACAGATAAAAGAAACACATAAAATTGCAAATGGCTAGATAGATGATTCAGACTTGTAGAAAGGAGAAAGGAGCTGATGAGTGCAGGGGGGGTCCTGAAGATCTTCTCCGGGCTGGTAAATGCATTGGGAAGGTGCGCAGAATGGGTTATCTGAAAAGCTCACAACATGGGGAATTGTACCACTGTGCCCTAAGAAGCACGGACACGGATACGACACCGACACCGACACGGCGACACGGCAAATCCTAAAAAATTAGGACACGGACACGGCGGGGACACGGCGAATAGTATATATATATATATGATGTAGTACTTTAAAAATTACTGAGTGTTACTATTTTTCATCAACCTCACAATGAAAAAAAACACAAATCATAACTCATAACTAATAAACTATAAAAGAACAATGTTGCAGAGTTATAAAGCCAAATAAAAAACAAGACAATAGAATAATAACTAGTATCATTTAATCATCATTGCAACTTTACTCCAAATACAAAAGCATAGACAGAAGGACTATTAACATTCAGGACTTTACTGTTAGCACTTAACATTCACAAAAACCTAAAGCTAATCCCAAAAAAGATACAAAAACAAGTCAGTGTACTATCATCTATTCCCATCCATCATTTGACCTAGGACTTTTACCATTTACAATACCAAAAGGGTAGTACAAAACAAAAAACAGAACATATCAGCATTCAAAAAAAAAAAATTCCAAAAGCGTCCGTGTCCATGTCCGCGGAGTGTCCGTGCCGTGTCCGAGCTATGTCCGAAAATTCAAAAAAAATAAAAAATTCCAAACACGTTTTTTGACATGTCCGACACGTGTCGGGGCGTGTCCGACGCGTGTCCGTGTCCGTGTCCGACATGTGTCGGACACGGATTCTTTGCCCATTTTGGAGTGTCCGTGCTTCCTAGACTATGCCTCCGTTCGAAGCACTGAGGGAGATTTTTCTTTTTGGAAGAGAATTCTAGAGGGGAAATGCAATGTGGTGACACAAGACAAGACCCATAAAGGAGGGTGACTGGGTTGATTAAAGATTTGCTGGTTATCTTCCTCCGCTGGAGGAAAAAAAGCTGCACAGTGAGGTGGCAAAGATTCGATTCCAGATAGAGGTTAGATTGTTGACAAAAAGGCAGGGACAGCTCGGTGGCAGGTTGAGGTGGATCAAGCTTCATGTTAAACGAGTAAGGAGTTCTTGAGAAGATCTCTTGAAAAGGAGTGGGAAGATTCAACTCCAACGAGCCAACAGTGACGGAACTTGAAAAGTGGGCAAAACAAAGTGGCTTGTTCTAATGGAGTTAGTGAATGGAGCACTGTTCGTATACCTCTTTTCTTCACAGAGGGAGCTGGATAGGGTTTTGAGCAAAGGCGAAGGAAATTTAAAGGTGAATTCAGTATTCTGTATCACATAATTAGAAAAAAAAAAATTAAAATTTAAGTGTCAATGATGTAAAATAGGGTCACCTTCAAGCACTTCTCAAAACCTAATCTAATTTTGTATATAGAAACCAACAGGCAGCAGCCAAAAATAGTATACTAATGCCTAACCTTGTTCAAATGATCAAAAAAAAAAATTACACTTCACCTTAATTTAAAACACGGGACAAAGAAGCAAAGCAAACAATGTCAGACAGACAAGATAACAGCAAATTACCATTTCTGAATGACCATCTGCAGCTAATTCATCCTTTGCCTCACTAAAAAAGCCATCTAGAGAATCCGATGATTCTGACCCTGGTTTTCCAAGAGCCTATAGGGTCACCTTCAAGCACTTCTCAAAACCTAATCTAATTTTGTATGTAGAAACCAACAGACGAGCCAAAAATAGTATACTAATGCCGAACCTTGTTCAAATGATCAAAAAAAAAAATTCCACTTCACTTTAATTTAAGACATGGGACAAAGAAGCAAAGCAAACTATGTCAGACACACAAGATAACAGCAACTTACCATTTCTGAATGACCATCTGCAGCTAATTCATCCTTTACCTCACTAAATAAGCCATCTAGAGAATCGGATGATTCTGACCCTGGTTTTCCAAGAGCCTATTTCATTCCAAAATCCAAAGCATTTATTAGTCACTGTAATTCAGCTGTAGAATATGAAAATAATAATTCATTCCATGTTTGATGGATGGGACCCAAATGTACCAAGTGTATAAATATCACTTTCAAGGAGAAGATCATAATTCATTCCATGTTTGATGGATGGAACCCAAATGTACAAAGTGTATAAATATCTCTCAGGGAGAAGCCAGTTTATTTAGATTTTCCATAACAATCAAAAATAAGAAAAGGCGTTTTGTTTCAACATCCAAAAGCTGACTCGTCAAACGATTCTGTTTCTGTTCCCAATCATCGGTCAGGATAACCACCTTTAATTTATACACCAAATATCAACAATCCACTTTTAATATCATGACCACAGACACAGAATGATTTAAGAAAATAATTATTTTCGTTTAAAAAAGAAGGAATTTCCGATGAGACCAAAAGAGATTGTAAAACCACTAAATTAAAGAAAAAGGATCCAGGATCTCTTAGCATCAGCATAGGGCTTCACAACAATATACATCAGTTGATGTGAAAAGTAAATACTGCCAGTAAATGGAAAAAGATTATTTCGTTTACTGGGGTTGCCAAACTGACCACAAACTTGAGAATCAGGAATCACTGAGTTATGAACAATTTCATATTTGGTAATTGGTTGTATCATAAAAAAGTAATAAATAAATAAAGTAGTAAACAACTTAGAAACCATAAGATAAGAAGAGAATTCTGAAAATAACAATATAAAAATCAAGGCAAAGGCAGTGCATGTCAGGTGAAGAATTCAGAAATTGTTCATAATGTGATGAACAATTCTCAAATTACTGAATTAGCTTACGTATGGAAGTATGGATTTGAACAACTAATAAGCATCTATGTAAATGCAAGAAATATTGATTGGATCTACCATTTATGCTATTCATATAATTTCACCACATTAATGAATAAAGAAATAGCAGTAGTTTAATCCACAGACTTTCTCAATAAGTTTCAGTACGAGCTTATATTTATGTCAAAATAAGAGAGTAAAGAAGAACAGCTACAAAGGGGAAAAAATCAGGGAATTGGGCTTACTGTTCTTAAGTGATTGAGTCATTAATATACTATGCATCTTGCCAAGTAAATTAACAGATTACATTTAATAATTGAATAAATAGATAGATAATATTTGGCCATCAAATGAAAGGATACAGGAGAAAGCTCTTATATTTTCCACAAATTAAAACAGAGAGAGAAACATTTTAATGAAAAGTTACCAAGTAAAACAAAACAACGTTATACAACACAAGAAATGTTCACTTACAGAATATTCAAAAAGCGTCTCCAGTAACAAGTCAATATTGTCTTCACCTAGATTGAGAAGGAAATAATCTTTTTCAACAAAACCTAGTAACACATTTACTAATCGAACTGCTGGAAGAAAATAAATTAAACAGAGTAATATGACTTTATAGATAAAGTGTATCTAAAGATATAGTTTGACCCCAAATGTCGAAATCTTGGCACGATAAGCTTGGTGTTCTTTGTTCTCTTTGCACAACATGATAATACCATTGTTAGCCAACTCACCCACACCCAGCACCAATAAAACAGATTAAAGTTTGCTTTTGTGCATAACATACCCTTTTCTTCGATTACTTTGTCAACAAGAGATGGTGAGAATCCCATCCCCAGCAAGGATAATCTTATATTGCTCCCTGATGAGCTTGCAACGTTGACCTAGAATCAGATATTTTTCGAAAAGGATTAAAAAATAAATAAACAAATAAAAAGAAGGAAGGAAGTAGTTGGGAACCTATCAAATGTACAAACTTACAATGTGAATATCTAACCAAACTCTAGCTGCCAAAGCAGCAAAGAACAAAATTCCAAATATACATTACAAAACGTTTATTAGGATAAAGAGGACAACAGACAACTTTTTCATATAACAATGCATGTCCAGATTTCAAGATTCATACAAATCCGCATATAAAGAAACAGTGACCAAGTAAATGTCCAAAATTTAAGTCCTTCAGTCAATAAAAAGCATGATGAGGATGTGTATGATGATAAACAATCTTTGGTGAGGGATGACAATCAATAAGAGTTGAAGGCAATAACAACAAACAACACAAGATAAGCATCACAAACTAAAAAAATCAACTACATTTTCATGCATAACAGGAACCAAGTTTAATTCAATTTAAGCAGCAACTTCAAGCAAGAATGTAACAAATAAAATGAGCACCATTTCCTAATAGGTCTGTTATAGTTGAAAGGATATCGTTTAAATTTTAATACATCATATTTTCAAGAGTAAGCAAGAAAGTAGATGTCAAGGAAAAATAAAGATGCACTGCATTGACCAAAGAGTAGTGTTTTCTTGTTGGAGTGAGAATATTGGTTTCCTTAGCTTCATAATGTGATGTCATCTGAAGGCCAATGCCACTAACCCAATTTTCCATATGACAGCAGACCTCAAGGCAGGCCACATGCACCATGCCTTCAATGGCACCAGCAACACAGTATAACCGCTATAAACATTTCTATCTGAATGGGAGCAAAGGAAATTATAATCCTCTCCGGAAACATCTAGTCAAAGTAGAAGAGGTCACCTCTGACCAATGAATCCTTGGGGCAAAAGGTTGCCACATGGAATAAGGCAACATAGACAGGCACCCTCTGCAAACGCCATTTAGCTGTTATGTTTGAAATTGTTCTAGACCCTAGACAGGACAGAAGACCTAGCTCATTCCACATACCATCTCTCGGTGCCGGTTTCAACACTTTGGAAATCATTGTCATGATAATACCAACACAGGATTTTATTTTGCATATAGAAACTCTACAGAAAGCTATGAAGCACGGACATGCAGGGTAGGGGCAACGTACAAGTGTCGGACACGTGTCCGACATGGACATGCGTGTCCCAGCCTTGGACACATGTCTAACACTCACTTACAGGTGTCCTGTTTTTTATTCTTTTTTTTCAAGTCGGACACGCTGGAGGACACGGCCGGGACACTTCTGAGGACACGGCAATTCAGATTTTTGTTAGAAAAAAAATAGAGATGAAGATATACGTGTGGATCGATCAAAGACAACACACCAAATGCAACTATAGATTTAGAGATGGAGGGGATGAGAGAGCAACGGGAAGAGAGGGGAAAGCAACAAAGAGGTGATGAAGAACCTAATGATCATGATTTGTTGGTGTAGATCGATCGAAGTCTACCGAGTCCCAATTTGGTTCAGAGAATTAAAGAGAAAATCTTCTTTTAATGGTTTGATTGAACTTCTGTATGCATATTCATTCATATATCACTATATTGTAAATTAAAGTCATCAATGAAAGACAAGGGAGACAGAAAGTTAAGAGATAGAGGAAATAGAGACGCCGCTTAGAGGAGAGAGAAGATAATCCGTCAATGTGGAAGATCAAGAAGATAACATTGAAAACTTATCTCTTTTTCAATGTGTTTGGTTACAAATTTAACTATTCTAGTATTGGATACAAAAATATACTACTTATTTATTGAAAACTTATTGTTTTTATATAAAATTATTAATATAAATAAAATTATAAGTAAAATTAAAATTTTATATATAATAAAAATATATATTATTATTTTATTGCCGTATCCTTGCCGTGTCCGTGTCCTGTTTTTTAAAATTTTCCATATCCGAGTGTCCGTGCCGTGTCGTACCCGTGTCAGTGTCCGTGCTTCATAGACAGAAAGGTTCAAAATAGTAAAAAAGTTCTTTTTTTTATAAGTAATAATAACATAAAAAGGCGTTCAAGAGAGGAACGCGTCCCTTAAACAAGCGTGGAACTGGGGCTAAGGCCCCAAAGAATCCAAGAAAATAATTAAATCATCAAATGAGGAGCAAGAACTCCTCTTCACGTAATTGAAAAGAGAACGAAGAATGTAAAATTTCAGCATTGCCTTAGAAACCTCCTTCCCTTCGAACATTCTACTATTTTTCTCTTTCCAGATGCACCACCATACACAATGTGGGACAATTCTCCAAAAATCGCGTACATCCCTTCTAACACGACAACCTCTCCAAGCATAAATCAAATACTTAGTAGATCGTGGCATTACCCAACGCATGCCGAACAACCCAAGAATAAGATTCCAACAGTCGTGCGCCACAGGGAATTTATAAGGAGGTGATCAACTGACTCCCCATCTTTCTTGCATAGGCAACACCAGTTAACAAAACAATTGCCCCTTAAAAATAGTTATAAAAAAAAATTTCTTATAAAACAGATATTGTTATCTTATATTTCGAAGAGAAATTTCTGTTTGAAGCCGCAGCATTTCACACATAATTGATGAACTGATGTAAATTGCCAATGAAGCAACCAAACAGATTTGGCAATGATACAACCTTTAGATCGTGACGAACGATTGGAAACAATAGTTAAAGCTAAGATGGAGACAAGTCAGCCATTGTGAAATATCATAAAATAAAAAATAGCAATTTCAACAGATAATAATTCAATAATCTGGAAAAAAGTAGGCATACCCCAATATTCCTTGAACACATGTTCTCAGAGGGCAAATCCAGATCTGTAACCTCAATCTTTGGCATAGTTCCAGTCTCACCTTCCAGTTTGAAAGAGTTCGGTCTGAATTATCTGTTAACTCACACAACAGAAATAAAATTTACAGAAAATGAATAACAGTTTCAATTGTTTTAAAAGACAATGTCTGAAAATGTGTACCATCTTGACACAGAAAAACAGCAGCAAGCTAAAGAAATTTGTTTTGAGGACTACCACAAAGTTAAAAGGCAGAACCTTTTTCCTTAATCTCTGCAAATAATAATTATAAATGTAAATTACTTCGACATCCGCTGAGATTTGTCTTAATTACTCTCGGATTGAAGTTGTGAAAAACGTTTGCTCAACCTCCCCTAAGGTTTGATTGACTTAACTCTCACCGCCCTTGTGTTAGTTGACCCTTAATCCAGTGAAAAAGTAATTCTAAAATTCCAAAAATACCCTTATGCACTTGACAAAATTAACTTGATTAATCATGTGAAATGACCTTTTAAACCATACAGTTTTGGATGAAAATGCCCTTAATATTTGAACACTTAATTAATATAATATCTATATAACTAAAATTTAAAAAAAAAAAAATTAAAAATTATCAAGCAATTTAAAGTTAAATTTTTTTACTACATACTTTTATTTTTAAGACTAAAATTTGTAAAAATTAATTAGCAAACTTTGCAAACTAAATTAATATTTACAGTAACTAAATTTCAAAATTAATATGTATATAGAATAGAAAATTTATAAATTTAATATATAAATTCCATTATATATAAAGTTGCTATAATTCACACATATATATGTACATATATAATATACATATAAGCAATAAACCCTCCGCCCACCGCCACCATTCCTGCAACCACCATCGCCTCTTTTCACCTCCACCAGCCACTTCCCTCCTCAAATATTACCTATAACAGACTGTCTAGAATCTCTCTCTGCAATGGTGGAACAGGTCACTAGATTTGCCATCCCACGAACTCATTTCATGCCCTAATTCATCCTATAGCGACTCCATCGTTCCCCACCGCCATAGCCACCGCCAGCACCACCATCACCATTTCCATCTAAATCTGAACCTTCCCCTTTCCAAATAAGAATTGATTGTCCTCCAACTATTTAGATGGTACTTTTTATACCTTATTTGGTTATGGGTAAATGGGTCTTGATTGTTCTTTATCTTATTGATTTCATTGCTGAAATTGGTTGTTGTGGCTCATCGAGATATTTGAATCTGGGCTTTGAATGTAGTATTTGTATAGTTTTAAACTCTGCTTGTGACAAATATCTTGAATTTGAATATGGAGTATTGAAAAAAAAAGAGTTGGTTGCCCAGATTCAAAACCCAGACATCTCATCCAATTGAGTATTGGTATACCTTTAAACCCTGAAGGAATTCCTATATGTGTGTGTGTGTGTGAGTGAGTATATATACAGACAAACATATATATATGTGGGCATTGTGAGTTGGAATTTTGGGGTTTTAAATCCAATTTTTGGGTTATGCAGGTGCCGAGGGAGTTTGGTGGTGCTGGTAGAGGAGAGGTAGAGGAAGACAATGGTGGAGAAGGGAGAGATTTTGCGTGTGAGGAGCAAGCTGTCATGCAGGTCGTGGTTCTTGGTGGTTGTGGTGAGTGACAGCGGTAGTGGTTGTGGTTGTGGTTGTGGTTGTGGTTGTGTTGTGTTGTGTTGCGGCAAAGGTGGTGGTTGGTGTGGTGTGTGGTGGTGACAGCAAGGAAGAGGAGAAAAAGAAATGACTAGGGGGGTGAAGGAGGGAATAGGTAGAGTTTAGATGGGGCAGATTGGTAATTCCATGGTTCATGGCTTGCATTAACAATAGGAATATAAATTGTATTAATAAAATCAAGGGTATTCTGATAATTTCACTAAAAATATTTACCAAGTTAACGGTTCTTTAACTCTGACAGGTGTATCAGAGTTATTTTGCAAGACTTTTATCTGAAAGCAATTAAGTCAAACATCGGGGGTGGTAATAGTAATTTAACCTAATTATAATGATGATGGTATTAGTCAAATAATGGAATAAGAGAACCATGTGACTTTCATAACAGTAGTGGCAGCATTTAAAAAAAACTAGGTTGTGACTTCATTTACTAGAAAGTATACCATGTTTTAGGCAAATAGTGTCGCCCTGTCTTTTATTATATCTGCTTGTATGCACCCACTCCCCTCTCTTTAAAAAAACAAGAGGAGAACAAGAGTGATGAAAAAATCTTACAGTTTTAATATTGTCAATTAAACAATATAATTCAATGTAAGCTTTCAGCTAAAAAGACAATATCTAGTTCTTGAGTTCTCTCTCTTCAATATTTTAGGTTTAATGTCAATCATATTGAAAGGAATTATACTACATGAATCATAGCTCATTTAGTTTTACCAAGGATATGGACACAATAAAGGCAAAAGAAACATCTACAAATTCAATAGGGTATGTCTCATGATGTTCCGGAGAGTGTCAAGATTCTTGATTTAATAGTTACTATATTGTTACTCCTTCTATCCCATATTAGTAGTCCATTTTCCTTTTGTGGGTTGCACCAAAATACTTGTCCATTTTTAAAAGTCATGGCAAAAGAAATGCAATCTTTCCATCATCGCCCTTTAAATTTTCAAAAATCTTCCAACTTGATAACATACATATTTAAACTTGAAAGGACAACTAGGTAACTTTAGAAGGGGGACAATGCATTAATTGCATGTCCCCTTAAAAAGTTCTAATACCAAAAGACGACTAATACGGGACGGAGGCAATTAGCTTCCCAGCAAAGGATTATAGTAGGATGGGGGATAGTCTTTTAGAATGTCATGTGATTGAGATATTCTATAGAAAGGAAAGGAAAATCATTTAAAATATCTATAGATAGACAAAAAATTAGGTAACTAAGAAACAACTATGCTCCTAAAACGAGTGGAGTCAAATGGGGATGCTGAGATGAATGTGCAATAAGATAAAGAAGGATAAAATTAGCATAAATTGGGGATGAAATGAAAGAAAACAGAGTAAGATAGACTGGCCATGTGCAAAGAAAACCGAACTGCAACCATGAGGAGGAGTGGCATGGTGTACAATGAATAAATGAATGTCGAGATAAGGAGGACAGACATGGTAGCATGTGGCTTAATTGAATGTATGGCCCTAGAAAAAGGAAATTGGTAAATCATGTTTAATGTAACCATTAACCAACACCAAACAGTAAGCATAAGTATTTGTAAAGTCAAGTATATCACGTCAGTGGCACTTATCAAAAATATATATATATATATATATCTATCACATCAGTGGCATTGAAAAGGAATATCCAACATATAGGTATAAAACAAAGCTTTCTGCAGTAATAATGACAAACAAAACAAAAGAATTTATTCAATGACAAAAAGGATTGCAGTCACTATGTTTATTGTGAAACGATATGTGGCTTAGCAAAAAGATATTGAGCTAAATCAAATACATGAAGTTAACCACAAAATTGGTTAGGCTTCACGTGTATTGACGGAAAAGTGAGAAGCAGCTACTCAACCAATCGAGTAGTGTTGATCATTGAACAATGTCCGACAACTACCCTAATGATCAAGCAAACACAAACTTTCCGAGGATTGTTATGAAATGAAACATTTGATTTAGGGAAAGGTTACCTCCGGGATAAATTATCAACAGATCTATTTGTTGAGAAGAATAACTGCATAATTGCACACATGATCGTTATTAATTTGTACACACATATAGTTTGTCCTTATAGAGATGATATAGTGAGTATTAGAATCAAAACAAGAGCAAGTCATCTATGACCAGAAATGCCTCAAATATCATTGCATAGTATTTGCCACATTGTTCAATTATTTATTTGTTGCCAAGAAATTCGATCCGTTGCATTTAGAAAACTACTCTACACAAATTTTATCGTCAATAACTACCGTATAAACCAATATTAATAATACAAGTATTTATATGTGTGTGTTGTGTATGTGAATTATGTGCACAGACGAACTCAACTCAACTCAACCGAACAATCTTTTCCCAATTTATCTATATGTAAAGATATCTACATCCACAGTATATACAGGAATATAGAGAGAGAGGGGGAGAGAGAGAGAGAGAGAGTTGCATGCAACTCCAATTGAAGAAATGCAAAGTAAACAGAGAAATCAGAGAAAAAATCTATGGAGAGATGAGTAAAACCCCAAATATATCGACATTAAAACTATTGTAGCATGCATGGATTAAAATTCATGGGAATAAGACGAAGAAAGAAAGAAAGAATGAAATAGAGCGTTTACAGTTAGATTGCGGTTGTGGTGGTCAAAGGTGAACCTCTGATCGGCAATTACGCCGGAGAGAACAGAGAAATTCACTCGCGGAGAGCGGCGCGTCGGTCACACAGTCGGCACCTATAGATTCTTCGGAGTAGGGAAAAAGTGTGTGAGCTGAAACAGCCAACAGAAACACGGTACAACACAGACACTACGAAAGTAGGATTGCATCGAGGTACGGACACCGATGGAGGGCATTTGGATACGAGTTTAAAGTGAGCTTTGTGTATAAATTGTTTGGTAGTTGGTGGAAATGAAAAACTGAAAGAAATAGAAAAGAAGTTACTGAGGCATTTTATGGATATAGTTGAATGGAAAGGGAAAAAATTAATGCTACGGTATATTTTTATATATTTATTAATATACTCCGTATTAAAATAAGGGTAAGAAGGTGAAATAACTACTACGATATGCATTAAGAGTTGGGATTTCGTCAAAAAAATATATATATATTAATAATAATAATAGTAATAAATATTTATATAAATTGGATTCTGGCCTACGCGCCCTATAAATCATATTTAGTAAAAACGTGAAATAAATTTTACCATTTTTTAATATATATTAAATTTTACGATTTTTTAATATATATTAAGAGTTAGTAGTTAATTTTAAGATTTTTAATAGTTAATTATAGGGTGGGTACAGTTAGGGCTGGTCCTTTATCTCCTGGACAACACTGCCACACCCTGTATAAATCATTTTTTTTAAAAAAATTATCAAGAACTTGAAGTCCCTCTTACTAATATTATTTTTCTTCTCTCTCCTTTCTACTAAATACGGAGTAGTAAATAATGAAAAAGTTGTTCAAATACTTTCCATTTATTTTATTTTGCTTTCTTTTATTCTACAAATGTCACAATTAAGTAAAATTGAAAAAATAGGCTTAGATTTGTCCAATCTTACTCGGTGCACGGGATTTGTTGTGTGTTGCATGTGCAGTGGATTAATTTGTGCTTATATCTATGTGAAGATCTCGTCGCGCTTTTCATTTTGCGGCAAACGGCACCCAAAATTTTCCACAAATGAGAGCGAAATCAAATAGTGAAATTCATGAAGCAAGAAAAAGAAAAATAAGAAAAGTGAGACAGAAAGCTTCTGTCCGGGGGAGAAAGAATAATGAGGCTTAATGGCCTTTTGGCCACTAAATTAAAAAGTAAGTAGTGGTGGGTCACACCATAAAAGAATATCCCACCATTAACTTATATATATATATATATATGAACAAATTATAACATTACATTCTTCCCAACTTAAAAAGATTTCGTTTCCGAAATCAAGTCATACCTGTGGGAGAAAACAACGCTGGGTACTTAGAGCGAACCTCTCGTTCGAGCTCCCAAGTAGCCTCCTTAACTCCATGATACCTCCAGAGAACTTTCACTAATGGTATCGTCTTGTTCCTCAACACCTTCTGCTGTGTGTTAAGGATATGTACTGGTTCCTCCTCGTAGGAAACATCCTCATCAATGTCCATATCAACCCAACTCAAAATGTGAGATAGATCCGACTCGTACTTCTGTAACATCGACACATGGAAAACATTGTGGACCTTGTCCAACTGTGGTGGCAAAGCAAGTCTGTAGGCAACCTCTCTTACTCGGTCCAATATCTCAAAACATTCAATGAATCGTAGCGATAACTTGCCACTCTTCCAGAACCTCAACAACCCCTTCTGTGGAGAAATCCAAAGAAAAACGTGGTCTCCCACTGTGATACCCCTCGATTCTAGAGCCACGGGTGATCAAATCCGAGCACAGATTTAAGGGATATCAGACAATTAATATGTAAACAAGCAGGAATACAAAAATGAAATAAAAATAAAATAATAAGCTGAAAAGAATTTTAGATATAAAAATCCTCCAAAATAATAAATTAATAAAATTTAATCTTTTCAATCCGTACAACTCGGGAATCCATCCAGTGGACCCCTAATAATCTCAATTAAAAAAATAAATTATAGAACCAACATCCAAACTATAATATGAAAAGAAATCCTATGTAGTCAGATGAATGAGTGACTATATTTGCTTCATCACGATCAAGCTCTAAGCTTGGTACTGACGAACACCTGAAAAATAAGAGTGGGTCAAGCTCACATGCAGGTTCCATCCTACTACAATCCATACATAAAACCCGATACGCAGATACATCTTAGACAGCTCGGCAATATCTAAAATAGTCCATATAAATATAGATACACACTATAGGATGCTCACTAGCCTATAGTGTAGTTCATCCTGCACAGAAGGAAACATGTAAATCACACTTTCCAGTGGCCATGTAGATCTCCTGTCAGGGAACATCAGCAATATCCAGTTACCCATCTTTTGCGATATACGCACCCTAACCATGATCCTAAGACTCAAGCTCATATCACAGTAGCATAAGTATTTATATAAATCCTTCCTAAGACAGAAAAATAAAACAAATATCAGTTATATCGTTCAACTATTTTAGTTGACAGGACATGCATCCATGTAGGATTTAACTATTTTAGTTAATCCATTCCGTATGTATGAACAGGTAAGATTTAGTGTTTTGATCAAATCCATCCCTAATATGCCACCGTCCTATACCGATGCATATGATCCATAAATGATACATACTCAAATAAACATCAAGTACATCTAGAAACTAACATAATAGAAATCAGATATAGATAAATCCTATCATGCATCCAGTATATGATTATATTCATAGAACCTCCGTTTAAATTGCTAAAGTAATACTAAACAATTCAAATTATCCATATCCACATAATTGACAGAATATAAATTAAAACAGTTCATCAATTAACATCCATAACATGGTATAATGATTATCAGAATTATGAACTGAGCACATTATAATAGAATTCCCAAACCATACTTTCCTACTAGTTCATGTAAATTACTAAAACAACGACTAGTAAATAAATCCTCCTCAATCATTGACGCCATGTAAATTAATATTTAAATCCCATGACGTCCCTTTAATCCTCAATTTATAAATCCTACACCCGATATAATGACACTCAGAAGTCTAGACAGAGTACACTATATGAATTTCCAATAGTAGTTTCATACTAGTCCATTTAGTTCGCCAACACAAAACTAACAACTAAACTTCTACAACTCCCGACAGCACGCAACTTATTAGATAAAATTACATGACGTCCACAACCACAGCATAACCACCATTCCTGGAACTGAAATATGTTATATGTATCATTGATATAAAATCCTAACAATAGCTTTCATATCAGTCCATTTAAGTTGCTAAAACAAATTAGCAAATTAAGTCCTCCTCCTTCCTGGACAGCATGCATATTTATTTTTAAAAATTCATGATGTCCCTTAATATTAGCACACTGGCATATACTAACTATTTTAAGGCTTTAACAAGTTAATTTTAAACATTTAAAACCCCACAACATTTTCCAAAAATTACGTTTAAGCCCCTAGAACCCAAAAACCTTCCGAAAAACCCCAGTAGGAGTGAACCAACAAGGGAGCTGGCTCCCCTATCATGGGAACCGGCTCTTAGGCTTCCAGAGCCTGCTCTCCCTCATGGACAACTGGCTCTCTCATCTAGGGAGCCGGCTCTCTCCCTAAGAGTTCCTCTCCGTCTCCTTTGTTTGTCTTCTTTGCTTTCGGCGAAGTTTAACCCTCTGTTCCAAATTTTGTTAAAGTTCTTAGGGTTAAATTAAGTCCCAACAGTCCTAAAAACTCCTCAATTTTCAACAAGCATTGCTTGATAAAAATTAAAACCGAATCAAAACAGTTTATGCAAGAAACACAGTTTCAGTTACAAGAACGTAAAACAGATTACAGCCTAATCTAACATGCATAAACGTCCATTTTAAAATTTTAATTAGATTCCTGGAGACTATTTAGAATGCACAGAATACAAATTTATAGGAAAGAGATAGAATGAAACTTGCCTTCAGGTTTTGGTTTGAAACTTTTCAACATCGTCTCTAAATTCTCCGACTACTGCTGACTACCGGCAAACCTCCTACCGCTCGGTTTCAATCCCACAAGCCATCCATTCCTCCCTCCTCGATAGGACCTTTAGTCCACAGCTGAACTCCTAACTGGTGGTTCTCACAGTTCCCTCTCAAGCTTCCTCTGTTTTTTTTTCTCTTCTCTCAAAAACCATTCCATGTGCCTCTGTTTTCCCTCTCAAGAACAATTACATGAATAGGGTTCTCCACCCTAGCAGACATAACCAAGCACATATATATATACGGCTAAACCCTAAGTTGGATTATATAGTATATATATAAGCTTCCACTCAACCCTAATTCAAAACCCCAAATAAAATACAAGTCGGCGACCACAATTATATAAAACAATAAAACCCTACAACACATACAAATTATATAAGGTACCAAAAACTACACGTCAATTAAATCATCAATAATCAAATCTTTAAATTAACCAACACTTAAATTAAAACAATTACAATTAAATAATTAATTTAAAATAAATTCACACTTAATCAATTAAGCAAATAATAAAATAAATTCATAATTAATCAATTAAGCAAATAAGCACATAACTTTTAAAAATGCAATAAAAATCTAAAATTATAAATTAAAATCCCATAACTATCCTTTCTAAAATGAGGGGTATTACATTCTTCCCCCCTAACAAAAGGAATTCCGTCGTCGGAATTCAATCTTTCTTTCTTCCTTCATTTCAGGAAACTGCGAGCGAATGACATCCTTTTTTTTCCAAGTAGACTCAACCTCATTGTGATGACCCTACCGAACACGCACTAAGGGATAACCCTATTATGAAGAATTTAATCCCTACGGTCGACAAAACGACCCGGGCCTCCAATTATGTTGCATCCGGTATCTATATCAGGGTACAAATCCATAGTCGTCTAAAGACGAACAAAATTCCGAGGCAGGCAGCGCTTAACAAATTGATAATGCTAAGCCATAAGCTACTTCCTAAACTGATAAGCAAAATCCGTGAAAAGTCAATTTAATACGAAAAACTGACCTTTCTCAAAAAACACATCGCTTCATATACGGAAGACATCCTAATCAACCATTTCCTAACAGAAAACTCTAATATACAAGTTTAACGATGTATAAAATCCGACTGCCGCCTTCAAACCGCGTGCAAGCTTTTACAAAAAAGAGTATTTATCTCCGATGTATCCTTAAATAAAAGCAAGGTCTTATTAGATAACCTCACTTCCATGCCAGACCAATAAGTTAGAGATCTATACTACATACGATCCA